CTCGCACGGGCTGGGTGTGCTTCCCGAGCCAGCTGGGCGGGCGGGTTCCCTGCGTGCCCGGCCGGAGGAAGCTCTGCTGGCTTCTCCTGCATCCACTGCTGCCCAAGGGCGGAGCGCTCTGGCTGCAGGGACGGGTGCACTGCGGTGCCGGACTTTTGGCTTTCCTGGAGTCAGCGCAGACCCTCGAGCAGTCTCTCTGCTCCTCTCCGCCACTGTCATTAGCAGGGAAGCGTTAGAGTCTGTAGCACTATAAAACCAACAGGTTCAGTCATGGTGCTGCTGAAACAGAAGGTGGTGTGAGAGCTTCAGGTGCTGCTGTGTTGACTTTAGCTGTAGATGTAGGTCAGTTTATTTTTATAACCTTTGCAAAACTTGGGGTCCAAAAGATGAATCCAATAGGATGTCCACGGGACAGATTGCTGAAGAAAATGTTCACTATCCTCTTCACTTTCAATGATGGTACAAGCTGCAATGGTAATTTAGGAAGTAAAGAAATACTCGATGGGTAGGAGGAATACTTTTTTTTTTTTAATGCTGGAGAAAAAGAATAGCCAGCAACAATCAAGAACAGAACCAGAAGAAATTCTGGGCTTTCAGAACACAAAATAATGTTTTCATTCATTGGTAAAGTTGTCAAAAAAGCTTTACCAAAAGAAGGATTTTTTTTTTTGCTGTCTTGCATGTTTTTTGGTTCTGGGTGTTCTTTCCCAGTAGCAGTTTTTGTCTTGCTCCATGTGTTCTATATGTTTCCCCTGTCTATGCCTTTCTCTTAGCCTTCATGCAAAGGAAGAAGGTAAAAGGTTAATTGATCTTGACATTATTTCCTGCTTCAAAAATGTAATTTTCTAGCTTTTTCTGTTAGCTAGTCAAATACTAATTTTTTGGATCAGGTACTGTACAGTATCATAAAGCCTCTTTAGTTACCTGCAGTGGTTTGTGGTAGTAGAAAGTAACCATTCCTGCTTTGTTTACATACTGTCTGCATTACAAAAATGAGGATGTTGTTAGTTAATGCTACAGTGTCTTTTTTCCAGCCATCTCAGGTGTGGTTAAGTCAGTTGTTCTGAGACCGGATGGTGTTTAAGAAAAAACTTTGTCTTTGCTGACTTTGATTAACTCTTTCTTTTATTTAAAGATGGTGAAAAAGATGATGAACCAGCTTCTGCCAAGAAACGTAAAGTAGAGTCTGGAGAGCAGGCGAAGAAGAAGAAGAAGAAGGTATAAGCAGGCCATTTGGGATTTAGACATAATGAGAATTTCAAGGAGCTTGGATTCCTCTGCTGGAATGGGAAACAAATACATGTTTACTGCATTTCTCCCTCGTATTGGGTAGGGAATTTTTTTTCTGTAGTTCGCTTGCCTTTTGGAAAGCACAAATTTAAATGGACGGTGTTGTGGTAGAACTTGTTTACTGAACAAAATTTAAACCTGTTTATTTGAAACAAGGATTTAGAAGAGAGATCCATTGCCATGGATACTTGTGCTTATGCAGGTTACAGGGCCTCACAATCTTTTGTTTATCAAGAAACGTGGTAACATGCGTTTTTCTGGACTGACTTTTCCATTGTGTCAAAACCTTTTATAAAGGAGTATGTACTAAAGATTTTTTAGGTACTGGTCTGTGATATGTTCACACAATGTTGTTTTTAAATATATGTATAAACTGCAGATAGTCACTGGAATAAAACTACATTTGAAAACGTCTGTGGTATAAATATTGCATTGCATGCTTGGTGAACAGGAGCAATGACTTCTGTTTTATATGCCATTCACTGATGTGTGACTTAACAGATTCCTCAGGGCTTTTTTGTTTAAATAAATACACAACTAAAAACTGAAAAAAAATGGACCTAAAAATGGAGTTTAATGGTTTCATTTATTTATTTATTTATTTAGATGTTATGGTATTTTCATCAGTGAAACATGAGACTAACTGATGGAGGGAGAATTGAAGCATTTAATGTATTCTTCCTGAAACAGGAAATAGAATCAAGATATTTATGTAGACAAAAGTTGTGACAAAGCTGTGATAGAGTCTTTGCTGCCAAACTGTATTTATTTCAGTACAAATGGTAGTCTTCTCAAAGTGCTAGTCAGTATATGTTGCATTTGTGGTATGGTGCTGAATGGGTTTTTGGGTCTGTATATGACAAGGTACCAGCTTGTACTGGACTGAAGAAAAGATTGCTGTATATTTTCAGATAAAGATTCTGTGCCTTAGAAAATCTGCAGTGAGATTAGCACCTACTAATAGAGATATATGTAATTAAATTGTAATGTAAAAATACATGTTTTCTATTTTCCTTCTGTCTTGGACTAACTTTGGCAGAACAGATTCTGTATACATATGTGCTAATACGATGTCAATATCTTTTAAGTGATTTTAAGAGGTTTTTTTAACCTCAATATATAGAAAATTCAATATATTAATTTTTATTGAATATATGAAGTTGTTAAGCAGTTACGCAATTCTAGACTTGGCAGTGTGATAGTGCTGTCTCGGGATCCTTGTCTACCTGCAACTCTGCAGACTCTGCAACTACTTCTTGCCAGTTTCACAGGCTGTGGGGCCAAATCTGATATATTCCCCCTTTCTGTGCCATTAGTCTGGAAACAGTTCAGAAAATGGCACTTGACACAGGTGAGGTTTCCCTATGCCCACCTTTCCTAGCACAAACCCAGATACCAGACGCTATCCTGGCAAGCTCCAGGATGAGAGATACTGTCATGGCAAAATTTATGGAGTGCCAGCTCTCTGTAGGGTTTCTCAAAATACTCCATCTGCATTTTTGACTCTTACAGTAGTTCTGTTTGCTTGAAGAGTGTTACAGCTAAAGGTTAATGTCACCAGCTCTGGAAATAGGATGCATTCCCATGACTGCTGTGACCAAGGAGGCTTTTGTCCATTTATTTTTTGCTCTTCTATTCCACAGGGCAGCTCAGGAAGTTATCCTTCCAATTGCTCTTTTTGTTTTCAGACCATGTGGTATATGTAGTATCCAGTTTTCTTGATCTTAACACCATGTGATACTCACTTTCCAAGGAGAAAAGCAGCATGTCTAGCCTGGGAGAAGAACAATTAATTGTATTATTTGCAGGTTAAGGGAATCTTCATTCTTCAGTGACTATAACAGATTCCCTGTTCAGGAAAAATGGCACAAACAACTCTTCACCTTTTTCTGAAGACATCTGAAACAAGGCTGTGAGAGCCTGTGTGAAGCTGACTTATTTGGGTAGATTGGTTCTGTAAACACCAACTAAACTTAAACTGATAGCTCAGATATTCAGAAAATAGCTCTTACTATAGAACAGTTTATCCTGGATTGTCTCTTGAGGGAAGCCCATGACAGTGAACATACACCCCTGCTGACAAATGGGGAAAGATTGCCTCTGAAAATTAGTGCTCTATTAACTAATCATTCTACTGTTTTTATGATGAATCAAATTTGATTACAATCATTATATGTAATGGGGGAAAAAAAGACAGTAAAAAATGCATGCAGGTTTCAGTTGAGGAAATTCTCTTTAAAAATTGTCAAAATCAGAAAAATGGTGCCTGGAAGGCAATTAACTGGCAATGAGCACATTGTGTTGCTTCAGATGCTGGGCACAATAGCAGCTGCAGTTCTTGGCTTTCCAAGAGATGCAGGATGATCTGGAAAAGAAGAATTAATGTTAGTATAAAAGTAGAGCTGTTGAGGATAATGGTAGGCAATGCTCCTTCCCAGGAGAGCTGACAGGTTGTGGCAAAGCATCCTTCTGTTACTGTGCTGTTCCTGTTCTTGATGCAGACTCCTGCTCTTGAAGTGCCGATTTGTTTACAAATAGTATGTGATTAGCTTAGTGCTGCCAATACGAAAATAAATCCAGAGGAATGTAGTGTGTTCCTTAAAGAGTGATTTATTGTGAAGCTGGAGTCAGCACAGGAAGAAGTGTTTTTATCAGTGGAGAGAAAGAGAAGCTGTGTAGTGCTGGCTCAGTCCGGTGACAGGAAGTTCCTTTGCCAGCTTGCTAATCTTTGAGAATCACGGCAAAATCAAGACAAAAAGATGCAATGCTTTCAGTGCTTTCAGCACAATAATATTTGGATTTTCTTTTCAGGTTTGAAAGGTTCTTGTTCCTGTTTATGTGTTAGGTTTATCCAAGCCCCTTTGGCCACTGGTCGCAGATGTTTGTGCTTTTGCTTTGGGTGTGGATTGGATGTGAGAACAGTGCAGGACTGTCTTAAAAGCATGGAAGATGATTACTGCTGAACTGTGTGTTCCTGTAGGATAAATGGTTGTACCAGTTGAAAGGGACCCTGGAAATGGCTATAGCTGTGCAGCAGTTCAATTTGGAGAAATGTTGTTTAAGAACACCCACAATTCCTTGTAAGACTGGAAAAATCTGAAAGGTTTTCCAAACAGCTGGACAAATCCGAGGACCCTCAGGCCTGGGCACAAGCATGGTGGTACCAGTGCCCTACAGAGATGAGCTTGCTGGCAGGCCAGTTGCTCTTGCAGCAGCTGAGAGGGAATGGCTGTCCAGGCATGCTTGGGAGGAGATGCTAGCCCCTCTGTAATTCACAGGAAGGCATATCTTACAGAGGAAAACTCTCAAAAGCACCAGCATAAGATGTGATTAGAAAACCCTTGAGCAAATGGAGGCACCTTGCTAAGAAATCTGATTCCATTACTGCCAAAGGCATTTTCTGGCTGCACTGACCGAAGTGAAGTTCAACAAATGATGTAGCAAGAGGCAGTGATTAGCTGGGCAGGCTCTGGCTGTCTCAGAATGTCAAGACTGAATTAAAAGCAGGATTTCTGTTCAACAAAATGTTGGCAGAATACAGAAAACTGTTGAAAAGAAATGCAATGTTTTCATTGCACTGGAGGCTTCCTGTGAGACATGGGAATCTCAGGGAGTAGTTCCGAGACAAACATGTTGGTAGCAATGGGCTGCTTTCTAAGAGTTTAAAAGTCATATAATTAGGAACCAAGAAGTAGCAGGAATAATGAGTGTATAAAGATTGCAGTGAGCTAGTTCTTTATGCTGAGAGTGTCACAGACCAAAAGGAACAACATCATCTTCAGAGGAGTCCACAGGATTTGTGTCATTGTTAGAAATGTGCAGAGAACAGTTGGGGCTGGAAGGCAGAGTCAGAGCAGAGATTGGAATGGATTTGTGCTGCTGGTTCCTTTGAACTGCTTTCTTCAGGGCACTTGTGTAAAAAGCAGGAATTTTCAGGGAAGCCAGTGCCTGTGGAGCTGGATTGACAGAAGAATGCAATGAATTCAATGAATGAAGATAAGCATTTTTAGTCCTTATCAAATTATTTTATCAGGGCTCTTCATTTAGAAGATGAAGTGGTCTTCATCTTTAGAATGCATTAGTCTTGGTAGCTTCAGAAGACAAAGACGTATTTGCTTTGCTGTAGTGGTGAGCAGCACAAGAGCTCTGCATTTTCTTGTATTCTAACAAAGTAAACTTGTTCTTTGGAGCAAACCCTGATTTTCCATCCCTTCCTGTAACTTCTCCCACCACATGTTTCTTGCTGTAGATGGAGTGATATGAAAACAAATACAGGATTAATATGGAGTAACCCCAGGAAAATGTAATGGGGAGTTAAACCTAAGCCACAGCACTTCTCAGGGGAGGATTAACACACTCTCCTCAAACCAAACCACCAAACAAACAACAACCCTGCCAGCAGCAGGCTCACAGCAAAAGTCATTGGGGAGTCTTTCTGTTGGAAGCAGAACATGGTCCAGTTTTGGTAAAAAAGAAACCTCTCTGGCACAGGCTGGTGAGGGATGTTTTGAGGAACCAGGCCAGATAATGTGAGAGACTAATTTCACATCTGTTGCAGAAAGGATCACTACTACTTAATTAAGACCTAAAAAGGTGTTTGGTTTTTTTTTTTGCACATACAAAAAAGTTCCTCTTTTAGGCTTCTGATATAGAAATGTGTCACTTTCTGTGGTAATCCCTTCCTTAGGACTGATAAAATTGTATTTTGTGAGACTAAGAATTTATATGTTGTCTGACATGTTTCAGAGTTGTATTATATAATGCAATTACAAGGTTGGTAATGGCGAGGACTAGTTTAAAACATACTGTTTTAATAGTTAGGAATACTGGGGTTTGTGCAAGATCTAAGGGTTGCTTACCATTGGTGACTTGTTCTCCCAGGAACCTTTGTGCATGGCTCTTGGATCCCTGTAAAGAAGCTGTATCTCTGGCAGCTGTGTCACCATGATCTTGGACAATAGTAATGAAATACTGTTTCCCCTTGAAAACTTACTCTTTTTTAAGTATCTATACAAAGGCCATTTGCAGGTTTTCCAGCTGTGCTGCTCCAGCAGAGAGCGCTTCTGTTACCCTTGGCACAGAGCCTGTTGAATCATCTGCAGCTCAGCTCTACTCTGCAGAACCCAATTCCCTTCTAATTTTCTTTCTAATGCTTGATTAAGTGTCTCTTGAAACAGTACACATCTATTTTGTTTACTTTCTTGATATCTTGCTCTAGACAAAGGTGTTTTAAACAGCTTTTGCACTGTAAATTTCACATGATTTTTAAATCTTGTGTGGGGAGAGTTACCATAATCCTTTGTCTTTAAAAAAATAATTCTTATATTGATAGATTATGATTAAAAAAATTATTTGGCACACAATTTTAGTCAGATGTATTTGTCTCAACAAAGCAGTGAAAATCAGTATGAAAATAATGAATGCTTAAATGTCATGCTAAAACATCTATTTCAGACAAATTACTGACTTTCAAAGTTTCTAACTTAGAAAAGCCCAAAGAGGGTTTTTGATCTTGTGCTTGAAGAAGGTATAGTTGGTTTAAATTTAAGAATACTCAAGAAAAACTCTTCTTTCTGTAAAATAAGAAAGTGAGGAAGAATTTGCTTTGAAAAGTTGCATTTTTCTTAAAATAGCATGGACTTCTAACCTTCTTTCTTAGAAGGTTACAAAAATAAGGCTGGAATGTGCCTTCCCAAGGTGACCCAGCCCATTGGCTGCCCCAGGCCAGCCAGGCCCACACCATTCCTGTCAGACCTCTTGGCTTTAAAACACTGCTGGAAGGGGAGACAGTGATGCAACCAGCCCCACCAGCCCTTCTGTGCCTGTGCTGGCAACTTGAAGCTTTAGTCAATCAGTAGAAATCAGCAAAAATGTGCAGTTAAACAAGAGAGTTTAACTTCCATAATTTTGGGGAAACATATAGCCCTTTCCAGCAAGTACATGGTCTATAGTTCTGTGTTCACACAGAGCAAGGACTCCTGTGTAAGCACAGGTGTGTGTGGCTCAGGATGACATATTCAGGGTTATAAAATGTGATTTACCTCAGGATTTGCCTTGGTTCTTTGGTTGTGGCATAGCCAAGGGAATATAAAAACACTTAATGCAGTTTTAGAAAAAAAATAACTAATTCTAGACCAAATGGCAGAGTAATAGCAAAAGACATAATTTCTGAGGTCAACTTGTCTGATCACAGAACCTGCTACAGTGCACTGTGTCCAGGTTTCCTTGGAACGTACTTATGCTGAGAATTGTATTGTTGCTGAACTGGGATATCTCTGGACAGCATATAACACTCAGACCCTGCAGTTCACTTAGAAGTTAAATTTGCCCCTAAAACCAACTTTTTTTTCTCAAGCCTATTCAAAAGGAATGAAAATACCTTATACTCAAGTATACATTACACTTGAGTTAAGCATTCCTAGAGATGGAATCGACCCACTGTATGTTTTTAGGGGTTTAATTAAAAGATCTTATTTAATTTTTCACAACAGACAAATCTGAAAGATAATGGTCTTATTCACTGTGACAACACCTAATGTGATTTGCTTATAGGGCAGATGTTTCCAGGGCTGGATATGCCATATGGTAGGAAACTTCATTTGATGCCTGCTTTGGCTGCAGCAGGACAGCAGTGCTGGGGGTGACACAGCTGTCTTCATGGATTGCTCTGAAATTCAGAGTTTAATAAATAATGTGAAGGGGCTTAAATTAATCAGCTGGTTTATATTGGGAATATGTTGTAGACCCTGATTTTTTTCTTTTCCTTCTCATGCTGCAAAAACCCATTAGATTTTAATAGCATTTTGTGGAAGTTAACCTGAAAAACTATCACATTTAATAACAGCACTAATTCCCATGAAACTCTCCCATATTTTCCATCAGAACTGTGTTTATATCCCAGATTGTGCATACACACTTGAGCATTAAGAACCAGAAATACTAGCAGCTGGGAAATTTGCTTCCCTGACACTTGGGCAGAAATCCATTTCAGGTGATCAGTTCCATCTTGAACATTTGTTTGTTCTTTCAATTATATTGCATATGGCTTTTGTTTGCTAAATTAGTAGCTTTTCTGTTTTTATAAGAATATGGTTGGTTTACTGACTCTCCTGGTTCATGCTATAGGGTTTTGGGGAAGCTCTGTGTGACCAGTTCTATTTCTGGTATCATGCTAAAGGATGCTCTTTAATCTGTGGCTCCATTTGTGTTAGTAAGTCACTCAGCACAACAGGAGAGCTCCTGTAACGTGACCTAGTCTGTGCTGTGGGCTCGCTCGGCTTTGCTCCCACAGCAGCAACGCCCAGCAGCAGTCCAAGTGCATTCAATGCACTCCTGGAGTGCATCCTCTGATTTGAGTTTCATCTGAAAGGAATCCAGCTGGTGCACTCTGGAAACCAAAGTGGAGTCTGCCAGGCTGATAGGGAGAGTCACTTCAAAAGCCGCCTCCTGCTCCAAACCGAAATACTTGGGCAGGCACACCCTGCCCGTGCGAGGGCCCTGCTCGCCCAGCACCCCAGCCCCTCCAGCACACGCCTTTGCCCCCAAAATACACCCTGATGGGAAAACACAGCTATCTTCAATGTTTCTGCTCTTGGTAGCACGCCAGTATCATCTTCTAAAGTCAGCTCTTTCCTCACCTTAGATTGTGTCTTTCATATTAGTTGATTCGCTGCTTCTTATATTACAAAGGGTGGTGGAGGAGAGCAAATTGCAGCACTGATCATTGCTTGTGGGTTCCCCAAATGGTAACATTTCTCCTCAGAGATGCTGCACTCATTCCTGCAAGAATCTACACGTGTGGATGAAATTCAGCTATGTATTAATCCCACCACAGGCAATGGAAAGTCTGCTGTCTATGAGCTAATTGCACATGTGAATTTAAAGTGCCAGGACAATAGCAGTGAGCCTCTGTTTCTTGATGGAGGCTGATGCCTTGTTGTGCACTTTGCAGCAGAGTAAGGAAAGGGATTTGTAGGGATTTTTCACTCCTATAAAGAATGGGTTCCTTTACCCTTCTATGCATTTTTCTCAGGAAAACTTAACTGAATTTTGCAAGCTTACAAATGCATTTTTTCATTTTAATATAGATGTCTTAAAAGATTAATTTCTGCCTGAAGACATTTGGGCAAGGTGGAGAGAGATTGATCATTTCCAGATGTTCTTTGCTGACAGGCAAAAATAATTCTGCTTTGGGTTAACACTTGTGAATGTACTTTAAAATATATGTATTTTGTATACAAAGCTACCAGGGAGAGCAGAAGCCAGTGCAGCAGGGGCTGAGGTGCACAGATTTGCAGTGTCATAGCTGCATTAATAAGGCAGGGCCTGCCCCTGTTGACTGGCTAAAAGCCTCAGGAACTTCCTTCCCTGTAATCTCCTATGGACAGGTAGGGGAGATGGATGTGCTTTTCAGACAGAAACACCACATGCAGTGTGCTTTGAGGTAGACACTTGGCTCCATGGTGTTTGCTGAATCAGACATATTAAAATAGATAATTCACTGTTTCTTTGATGTTTTGGGAACATTTCATACTGGGATTCCTAAGCATTGCACACTAAATTCTGGCAAGACTTAGTGCAGTGAATGACAAGTAGTTTGACTTCAGGCTTTTGGGAAGCACCCCAAATTAGCGAAGCAGGGGCAGCTGCTGTCCTACATGTCACCTGGGGGGACAGGCAGGCCCATGGAGCAACTGGACACTGATGTCCTGCTCCCTGTGTGTCCCTGTGTGTCCCTGTGTGTCCGTCTCGCTTCCTGCAGCGCATGAGCAGCACTCAAGCATCACGCCTGCAGTTCCTCTTGCCTCTGCACAAGCAATGGGGGCTCACTCCAATACTGGCTGTCTTGCCTTGCAGTAATCTCCAGTGGCTACAACGTGATGACCTCTTAGTGGTGAAAGATACAAACATCAATCAGTTCTGTAGGAAATCCTGGTGCCTGGGATGTGCAGATTCTTCTTCAGTTTGTTCTGGTCTCTCAGGCAACAGCAGCCTGAGCATGAGAAGTAACAGAGCTCATGCCTGTCAGCAGCAAAGGAAATGCCTGCTTGGGAAGCAGTCCTTCGTAACAACTGATGTCCTTCTCAAATGGTGTGTGGAACCAGAAACACCACGGGAGACCAGGATGCCTTTATGAGTCACAAGCTGGTTTCCACTGGGTGGGCAGAGGAGGTGGGGGCAGTCAGCAGAACCAGCCCTGTGTGTTGCCTCCTTGGGCACATTGAATCCTGAAGGGATAGGTTTCCATTGGAATGATCAGTAAAGCTGGCTGTTTTCAGAGGTTGCTGACTGTTAAGACTGTTTTAAGTAACTGACAGACAAAAGACTGATAAACCCATTTTCTTATCTAGATAGGGCTCTGCCCCTGTGAGTGGCAAAGCTCAGGGCCCTGGGAGTGTTATGGGCAAAGCCCCTCTGAAGGCCTAAGGGACAGGTGTGTGAGCACTGCTGTGGATGTGAGGTCTAGAGATGGGGAAGGTCCACTTCAGGAAATTAACCTTCTATGGAGCTGTGTCATGGCACTTGTCCCAGTGTCCCAAACCTCAGCCATGAAAGAGTAAGAGAGGGGAAGACAGGAGGTAAAACTAGGGGCAGCATCATTCTCTGGGGTTTTCAGGTAAAGCAGGTAAATCTAAGTGTCTTCATTGAGCCCCTATATTCTTTAGAAAGGAAAAATACACTAGCCTAGAGCATTAATTGATTTCTTGTGTTTCAGAAGCAGGCAAAGTGGAGGGGGAAGATGACTCTGAAGTCAAATTTTGGAGTGCTTTCTATGAGAGGAAGATGTGGATAGGAGGAAGGAACAGGACTGGGGAAGAAAAAGGATCATTCCAGTTTTTGTCCATGAAGAAGGACAATGTGCTGTGCAAAAGAGGGCTTTGAATCCTGAGACAAGATGTTGATGATAATTAGGTGTTAAAGCTCTGAGACTTGATACAATAGTTAACAAAATATTCACTTTAGTGCCTCAGTAGTGTGGCTGAACTGATCAGTCTTGGGATTGCTCACAGAGCTGTGCATGAGGCAGTCTCTGGTGTTTGCTTAGGCTTCTTTTGTTCCTGAAATACATGTATGAAGATCTGAAGAAGCATGTTCAGGGTTTGTTTCCTCAGGGTTTTCCTTTCTCAGCCTGCTTTGCTGCACCAATGGCTGCCCAGGTGGGGTCCTGCCTGTCACACGTGTGTGCAAGGTGCCAGCTCAGAAAGGTAAACTGGTAATGGGGTCTCAGTGCATATTTTTGCCTGTGACACCTGATGAACTGGATGCAGGATTAGAATGTGCAATTTGGGAACATATCATCTAAAGGGATGCTAAAATTGGCATCTTCACAATTTGACCTGATTTTCTTTTGTTGCTGGTTGTGAAGACAGAACCCACCACACAGTTAAAATCTGTTCTGTTGTGTTTGGTTGGGTTTTATTTTGGGAAGAAGTGGGATCATTTTAGTTCTTCAGCACTAAAAATTAGATCAAAATCCTGGCAACTGTACAACATAAATGAGCAACCTTGCAATAAAGGGTTTTTTGTCACCTTGGAAACACAGTTTGAATAAGCTACTTGGAGTAATTTTAGTTTCAGACTTCCCTCAGCCCTTGTCCCTCCCATGCAAATTCTGTTTTTACACTCAGTATATCCAGGTTAAATGTGTTTATTTCATATATAGACAACAGGGGAATTTGTCAGACAAAAGTGGAAGAAAACTGAAAATTACCTTGCACATGATGTTTCAGAGCAGAAGCTGGTGTTTGGAAATATACAAAGTTAAACCCATCCAAAAATAGATTTTAAAATCCATCATTTTAAATCTCAGAGCTCAATGTAAAAAACCCAGAAGCTTAACTTTAAATTATTGTTTTTGTATACCAGGGAGTCTTGTTATTCTGGAGAAGAATATGACATTTAAGAAACAAATTTTAGCACTGAGAAGCAAAGTCGAGGAGTTAAATAAGGAGAAATATACACCGAAAAATCGATGTAATATATTAGATGTACATGATCTTTCAGAATCCCCAGTATTGTGATATCCCTGTGCAATTTGTTGTATTAAAATGCTGTGGGTCTTTGTTGTGAACATTACACAGATTATACTGTTGCATAGCTGGAAACTCAAGTAATTAGAGGAGAGATTAGGATAAAGTAGTGCTTCTATCCACTAAAGAATGTAAATATTTTGAATATTTTCAATAGCTCACACTTCTTTAATAGATCTCACCTGAAGAGTGCCCTTACTGTGAGTGCCCACTAGAGAAAGCACAGAAGCGTTTGTAGCCTTTTCTGAATACTTGATCAGCTGAGACATATTGACGTTCCATGGAGACAATATTTCAAAATGAAAAGTAAACTGATATTCAGTTATTTAAAAGAGTAAATTGCATTTGAATATATATTTTATTGTCAGCTAATATTCCTGGAAGCTCAGAAGAACTCATGCAGGACTGGCTGGTGGTCCCTGTGCCAGTGTCCTGGTGTCACCTCTGCCTCCAGCGGTGTGGTTTGCTAGGCTGGGCAGGGAAAGGTGCCACCCGGGACCATGTGCCATGGTCTGAGCAGCCATAAAAGACCAGCAGGAAATTACACCAATACATCATGAGACATGATGAGAGAACAGCTGACTAGCATTTGGGTTAAATGCTTGGAAATGCTTCCTAACTACATGACCACATGACTGGTGAGGTCGTTGGGATAATAATAGGACCATATAATCTGAAATACTTAAACCCAGATTGATTTGAATATGAGCAAATGGAGGACATGTGTGATTAAGGGAGCGCAAATGAGAATCTAAATCTGTTTTTCACCTCCATTTTCATGGATTCTGTTTTGTCTCCCAGGAGTGACTGAATGTTATGATGGTCATCAATAATTAAAAGAAGCTTGACCACAGCACCTTCCCATGAGCTGCTGTGCTTTTGCCATTCCTTGTTATCACAGCAGTGAGTGAGTGCTGGGAGCAAGCTGTCAGCAGATGGTAGGCAGCAACTCTGGTAAATTTGCAAATAAGGGACTTTCCCCGCTGCAGCCAGCTGGCTCAAGTATTAATCTCCCTGCTGCACTGCTCTTTACAAGTCAAGAAAGCTCATCAGGTCAAAACATGTATTCTATACTGGCTGTCCAAAGCAGAAAAACCTTTTTCTCTGCTGAAACACAGTTTTACTTGATAGGTGCACTCCAGGACATGCAAAAAAACCCCTCCATGGTTCCTCACCATTAACGTCTCTAATTGCTCTGTTTGATTCACACACAGTGGAGAGAAAGAAGAGAATATTTCACATATGAAATTCCACAGATCTCTCAGCAGCCCGAGCTGATATGCTGTGTTTCTCTGGCTTTTTCTTCCCCCCATTTATTTTGGCTTTGTAATATACAGGATATCTATAATGAATTTATCTTACATGCACACATGTAAAGTTTTTTGAGTAATAAAATTATTTAGATTATATAAAAGAGAAAAATGGACTAGGTCCTTTCAGCTTGCAAAAGTCATTGCCAGATTTTTCCTACAGAAACATCTGTTACTTAAAATTTAAGATTATGAAAACACATCTTTGAGGCATCCTTGTGATTATTTAAGTCAAGTATTTTGAGCACAGCACACTATAGACAGTTCTTAAAAAGGACCAGTCTTTCAATTTAAGGATGTTTCCACCTTTCTATATATTGCTTTTCCTCATATCACATTTAGAAGTCTCTTATACTTTGCTCTCATGTAGAACTCAAGAGTTTGGAAGTTAATGATTTGAAAAACCACTATTTCTAATGGTAGAAGTGGAAGAAAGGGGAATCTATTTTCTGAAAGTTTTTACAAAGATGCTCATTAACTGTGTGCCCCTAATCTGGCATTTTTCTGGCTGATAATAGGTAACTGAAAGTCATTCAATATATTCTTGCAGTGTTGTAAGTTTTTAGTTTTTCAGTTTAGGATGTTTAATAAATAATTTTTGCATATGCAGCATGTTTTAAGGCCCTGAGCATAATGTGATTTATGATAGATGTGCCCTGCAACATCCCCTGGGCTGTGTTGGGTGGCCTGGCAGAGCCAGCTGTGCTAAGGAGCTGTAGGTGTTACAAGCTCCTGCTCAGTATTAACCGGGGCTGCTAAAGGACACAGCCTGAAAACCTTGTAGCTCCAGCTAGGTGGGGGATGAGAATCACAAATATTACATTTAATCTAAATTTGGATTAACAACCAAATTCTGTGAGAGCCTGAATGGTGGTGGAGACTTTGTGAAGGCACAAGGCCAAGGAGAAAGATGGAGCACAGGTGGACACGGATGAGAGCTCTGCTTCTTCTCTGTCCTCCTGGGGCAGAAATGGCAGGACCACAGCTATGGTCCTGGCCTAATGACATAGGACAAAATAGACAGAGAAATGCTTATTTAGTGATTTCATTTCCTTCACAGAGAACCTTCTGATGTTTTGAGCAAAAGTTTGAAGCTGTTTTTCTTCTGACCAAATATATTACACTGTTTGCTGGTATTTACTTTCACTTCAAGCAAGGTTGAGTGCCACCAATCTGCTGGTTTTGTCTCCATGTTAGGAGAAGGTAATTGTGGTGATGGTCATGATACCGACTATTTTTACTGTATGGGTCATGCTTTGGCTTCTTTATACCCAAAATACTTTGGTATTTTTAGCATATCTTCAGTGAGACTGACATCCTACCATAGTACTGGCATGTTGTAAGATTGCAGACAGAGGAGGTAATGACAGCCCTGAAGTTCAGTGGCATGTTTTGAAAAAGTCATAGAGATATTAACTTGCATTTTCTAAAAAGTCAAATACTAACTTAAAAATAGCCATAAGATGCAAAAAAGAGAATAAATTACTTATTTCTGCTAAAGCAAAGTACAGAAGGCAGAGCTGTGAACATTCCTGCTGCTTAAGTTAGCTGATAACTATGAACAGAAGAATTTTCATCACATTGCTCATTTGAATCTAGGTTTACCTTATATGGGTCTTAAAATCCTTTCATTTTTGATTACATTTTAACAGGACAGGTAGACCATGCCCCTGAAAGCAATAGGCTCAGCTCTTCATATAAAGGCAGGGTAACCATCCTGATGCTGTAGATCACATTGCCAGAACCCAGGTGGCCCATGCCACTGCTGTTAGAGAGGAACTATGGTGGCAGTGACTTCTCAGAAGTGTGTTAGTTCCTGGTGAGAAGGCACCAGGAACCACATTTTGTTGGACATGGCCAAGCAACAGCAATGCAGGTGTAGTGCAT